CGGAGGGAAACTTCCTTCTCCATAGTGGCACCAGCAGACGGGCAGCTACCTAGGTAGACAAAGCTATCCAGTTGTTTAATCTGTGTGCCTTCAGTAATGAGCAAGGGGCACTTTACACCTTACACTGCGAAGGTGCGAAGCATATTGTAATTAGAGGTCTCAATCGGCAAACGGTTTCGAATGGTTTGCATGCTCTGTGAGTCGTCGCCAAGTAGGGCGATATCATTGGCATAATCTAATTTGGTCGCTCGCCTGTCTGGCAGTAGTTGCAGACAAATATGTTTGTAAGCACGCAGGGCTCTAGACAGAACGTCTTCAATCGCAAAATTGAAGAGAAAGGGAGACATAGGGTAGACTTGTCTAACATCGTTATTTACAGCGCATCATGACGAAAGCTTGCCAAAGACTAACTAGAGTGCGCGCAGAATGGCAATACACTTTCCTGGGACCATGTTTTTTAGCAAGTAACGCCCACTAGCAGCTCGATCAACCGAATCGAATTTAGCATGGATGTCTAAGAAGACAAGGATGTGGGTCATCGGTAAAGGTGGCGGTGTTCGAGGATTTGGCGGAGGGTGTATATTCTATCGACACATCAACGGCCAGGACGGCAGCAAGCTTGTTCATTCCTGTACTATTTCAAAATTACAACACTACGAAAATTTTGTCAGCTAATTGTGGACAAGCCACTAACGCAACGTTTGAAATCGTTTCAAACCAATCTTATTAATATGAGGATACGCCTAACTAATATTTTTTCATATGCCGCCAATGGTGAGGAGTGTGGCGAAAATGACAGGAACCAGAACATTGCTAATAACTTTAAAGTGCTATCTTTTCTTGAAGACCAACTCCAAATATAAGATACCATGATTTTATCCTTAAAAATAATGGCCACCGACCAGATACCGCAAACATCTAAGCCAGAAGGAAGATGCCTTCTCCAGCTTATGTTCGATCGCTAAGTGCGTTCTGTGGTCTCATCAGTCACCAATACGCATGCTTGCATTATTTCTAAACACATCGAACTTACCCACATCCCACCGAGCTGTCCAACCGCCACGTCGACTGCACGAACGCCATTCCAAACCTACAACACACATGCACAAAGAAAGTTGCGTCACTCAAGTACCAAACTTACACACAACACTTCAGATACTATCTAGTGACTATCATATGATCAGTCAATGATTCAAATCAAAACGATACCAAACCCAATCATCCACGCACTCACGACCCCGTGTGACATACAGCTCATTCCTTTCCACGTCCCAACGACGCGCCGATTCATCGATGCACACTTAACTGCCCGGTACGGCAGCCAATTCCAACTCAGACGTCCGTCTTAAATCAACTTAGCCATGTTCTACACATATAACCGCCTTACTGTCTGATCGACCAGCTCAAGCAAAACACGGTTCGAAGCCTCAACACTCATTTGCAACCGCTCTGCAGGCTCATCGTCTGATCCACAATATTCTCCACTCACTCCTTTCAACACTCGTAAGAAGCCCCACATAACGCGGTGGTAGTCTTCATGCACTGGCGCGAAGTAGCATTCCAATAACACAAAACATTGCGCAATTCCTGTACGACGTGCAACACCATTCAGCCACTCTACAATAAAGATAAATCACATGCGTCATAGAACGGAAACAACAGCAAAATAACCCAATCAAACACCATGAAATACCAAAGTCATACAAACATTATGCAACGACGAGTAACAAGCCGCACTGGTATGACAAACACTTTTCGCCTCATATCTGATACCACAGACCAGAGAAAACAAACCTGTCCACACATCATCGATCCGCACACGCTAGTTAACACCGGTCTGCAAGCAGCAGTAAACACCGAGTCTCCCCGGATTCTCATTAGAACGCTTCGAGTCGGGATCATGCGCAACAAGACGATCACTCGCAAATGAGCTTTTCCTATTAGAGAGCTACACTGCTTCTGCACTGACTAACATCACGTGGCGGCGACAGTCGCATTAGACACTGAACCCATGCGAAACTCGCAATACTGCGATGTATCCCGAAGTCAAAGCAACAGCATACGGAAATAGAGTCGACAAACCTAGTGGCGAGAGTAGACAATAGACCCAGCGATAAGAAAAGGTCAGCACGTAAGATGTAATCACCGCGAATCAAAAACAGATTCACCCAGTTTCGCACCATACATTCCATACTTGCATGCACGTACACCCGCAAAATCTCTTCGAACCAGATATTAATAGAACGCTAGTTTAAAACCTTCCAGTAGAAAACGCAATTTCAACCATAGAACGTTGCTGTCCCAGGGCCGCAGCAGAAACCAAAGCAAGCGCCCTATGGACGCTCCAAATAGGTCGTGCAACAGAGTGGCGCACACCACAACCAAATCAGCCAAGACTATACAGCCAACAGAAAACGGAATAGTAAAGAAGCAATTACCACAAATCACTGTTAGGAACAGTAATTCCGAATGAATGGATCAGCCAAAAGTACATCATCATCAGCATCATACACGTTAGCCAGAGGTGGGGAAAACCTCAGCTACTGTGCCGCAATACACAGAAAAAGGGGAAAATGCAACTGGTGCAAGCCGGCTGAGCTACCGGTAACGGATGGGCATCGTGCCGGAAAGTTACTAGCCGGTTACTGTGCATCAAAAAATTACTATGAAAAGTTATATAAGGCTAAATAATGAGATCATGGTTGGAGGGGGAGGCTAAGAGGGATGGGGTTGGACAAAGAAACTCACAGCAAGAACGCCACTGAGGTCGGCTCCTAGCCATATCAGCAAGTGTGTCCAGCCACACGTGTTCATCGTCTTTCGGACCCCAACCAGGGAGCCGAGACGCTCCAAAGGACGCCAGCTCAGAAGTGAGGGCCTTCATTCCTCTGGACCAAGTCATCGCTTGGCCACCGCTTCTCTTCTTCCATCCACACCCCCGGAGCGCAAACAACGCACGTCACAGGAGTCGGTGGACTGGCATGCGTAACACGTGGCCGAGCCATCGGAGCATGATGCGTGAAATGACGGTGTTGAGCGGTTCACTTCCTTTTCGTGTGCATAAACAAGGCGTCAAACAAGCTCGTTGCTCACGCGGTGTTCCCACCAGACGTGAGCTAGATTGTGAAGGCACCGATGGTCGAACGTAACTAGCCTCTTCAGGTCCGATGCTTTAAGCGGCCAGGTTTCACAACCGTACAGTAGGGTCGAACGTACCGCTGCATTGTACACTCTACCCTTCAGGGCAAGCGTGATGTCGCGCCGGCGCACGGAACAAACACCAAACGTTTTCTAAAAACAAGTAGGATACTTCCATTGCTTGATCAAGTATGTTCTCGGACAATCTGATATAATTTGTAAGTTGACACTAGACTGTCCCATCAAGTCTGGAACGAAACGGATTACGCCGATTGACGTACCTTGTCGACCAATTGAGTTGTACTGGATCAGGCCCACGGTCCCGTAAGCTATAAGCATATTATTATTTACAACATCTCGCTTTTTCGTTTTTTTATCTTTATGTACTGCGGCACTATACTTGATTTGCTCACCTTCACTTAGTTTAATTATGATGATGATATTCCCCCGGCCCCTTCAGAATTACTCCTACTCGTTTGATCTATGTTTAGACAACAGACACACTCAGTCTCCTAGTCTTTCAGATTAAGATTTTGAAATGGGACGGCCCCCATATTTGTAGAAGGCAATTCATTACTACCTCACCACTACCTTGTGAACAGCAATTGAGCCAAAGGCTTTCGGTGTGGACCCTAGTGTACCTGCTGTCTAGGTGTGGGCGCCCTCACAGTTTTTCAGCCCACCTACAACAATGACTAGTCTTCAAAACTCCAACCATATCCTGCATCGGCAGTCGCGCAGCTGACCAACGGCAGCCTAATCTGTTGCATACAGCAGGGTAGAGAAGCGAAAACGTGCTACTGCTGGTGCCCACCTTCTTTCTTTCCCACCTTTTTCTTTTGCTCACTTCCAAACCCCATTAGTATACTCCCTACGATTAGTTGCCAAGTTGGTTGACAGCAGCCGCAATGTCACTGGGTTCATACCATTTGCATGTATCCCCATGCACCATCCACTGAACAGCAATCGTTAACAGCCCCTTATAAGAGCACACGGCACCGTTTCCCTGGCGGCGTTCAACGTTCACACGCTGACAATTAGGTCAGCAGTACTGGATTTGAGTTGTAAGTTTGTTAAGGTTTTCATCCCAATAGTTCACAAGCTACATAGCAGAGCCTAGTGCCAAAAAGCACCGGGCGAGTTTCGCCCTATTAAGGCTTGGCAGTTCTGCGCATTCCCACGGTCCCCTAAGGAGGATCGAACCCATGACCGCTAGAGGCAGATATCAACTAGCCAGCAGCTTAAGCTACTGAGCAATGGATGACGTTGGCGGGGTTACACAATTTGCAACAGGTTGCACTCGCAAACACTTTAGACACCCCGGGTATTGACCTGTGCCGTGTGTCCGAAACTAGAATCAATGACCCTCTGGTGGTTTTGAATTAGTTGCGCTCGGATTGCCCTCTCGTTATCGGCTACACCCATCCGGAGACGCTGATGCATCAACTACTAATCATAGTGGAGTGCGCAACGTTCTAGACTCCAAGTCTCTCATCGGTGGTTGATTTAGTTACTGTGAACTAGTGTTCGTGTGCAGTCCGTTTGACGACATCAGCTAATTTTGCTACACGAAGCAGAACTAGACGCTGTTTGTTGATGGTTGCTCCCACCGACTACATTCCTGATGCTGCCAAGGACACCTTCTACGACGAACGGTACACGCTGCCACACAGCGCTAACTGTTCAGAGGTCATAGTTCGTATTATTCTTGGATCCGTAGGTCACCGTGGTTATACAGTAGCGAATCGTCAGTTCAATTGACTAATGTGCTACTGCTGTTGATAACGCTGAGGTTAACAATCGCTGAACGTTTGCACTCTCTTCCTAGTTTACAGCTACTAAAACTTCCATTACATCCATTTCAGTAGTTCTTTATGTTGGAGAAATTCAAACCCGAATGACACATATTATTTGCGATTGGTTACGTGGCGAAATTGACTACAATGAATCAAGTACATGTGGAATGATTCGTTATAACCCTCGCTTGTGCAGTTCCTGTGGAGAAAGCTTTTGCGAATGGTTATCTACTAGGAAAGCTGTTGTACAAGTATGGAGCACAAAAGGATTTCTTCCTATTCAAGGAATCTGAGTAGGTCATTCAACAACTCTTTGCCGATTACTGCGCATTATGTCTTTTTTTAGCACATTAGATGTTATCTTAGACAACTTTATTCGCCTTGGGCCGACAATGAAACATCTGGGAATAAAGTTTACCGCTCACGATGCCAGAGACATTATTCAGGGAAAAACCCGAGCCATATTCACTCTACTGTACTCCTTATACGTGTTGCTTCATCAGGAGAAGTTCAGGAAAAAGGAGCCTGCTCAAGCTATTCCTCATTCTGGTTTGACTCTTTTGGAAGACATTTATTACAAACGGGTCAGTTTCAACATTCCTATGGCTAGTATCTTTTTGTTGGCGTAGTCGGCGAGATGAAATTTCCCTCGTCACCATGGTAACCTATTGCAGGCTTGAGACCCACTAGTCTATCAACTTGGTCATCAGACTTGGATAAGTAAATCGATGCATAATTACACCAAGTCTCGCGGCGTTTTTTGTTCGTGTAGCTAAAGATACTAAATGGGAGGGCCTCAAGGGAAGAAGACTGTCGATTTGCAGGTGAAGGATAAATAAGGGGGGGACAACTCCAGTCTTCGTAGGGCCAGACTGCTCTAAATATTTTTAAATCATGGAGAACCTGAGGGCATGAATAACTTTAGTTTTGCTTTTAGTCGGAATTAAATGTTGCGTAGGTGTATTCTGTAAATTCTTTAGCACTTCGTCCACTCTTATTCATGTTGCACAACCGCCTGAAATAATACAAGGCAAAAGACAGTAGTGTTAGATTTATCTGCCAACGTAATCACCGGAGGGCTTGTATTTGTTCGCCTAGTTTAATCCAGTAACTCGCCCTGAGTCTGCCTCTCTCATTCAAACCCAGTTCGATGGCATACAAACATTCTTGATCCGCATCGCTACCTTTGGACCTAAGAAGTTTTTGACTTTTAAAAATGGTGCCAGTAGAAATTAGTTCACCTGATTCCTATTCGAGTGAATTTTGTACCCGATAGTGAGTACGGTACGACAGTTGCATTTCACTCAGCCCCGTCTACCTACATTGGGGAGTTTGGCTTTGAGCTAAAATTAAGTGCGAAAACTTTAACTCACTGTGGTTAGCTAGCAGGCCGAAAACCAAACTGTTCCATTCCTTACAGTTCTGGTAGTGATTCACCATCATATTGGGACCCGTTGACAAAACACGTTGCATCGAAGAAAGGGGTCATGTGAAGAACAAGATGTTGACTTTCAGACCCAGAAGCATAGGCCGCAATATTCATTATGTCAATCTGAATAGTTGATTAGTGGAGTCAGCAGCAGTCTGGCTTACAGTCAATTTCCGCGCGTCAATCGGAAAAGCTGAGGCTTCTTCGTAATGAATTTTTCCATTGGTTCCATATGCTCCTAACACAATCAGTAGTAGTGTGCAATTTGAAATTCATATGGGCTATCAATGCCAACACAGACAATTGGTAGAATTTCGACGTCGTATAGAGCAAGAATAATGGGTTCCTGTATACCGAAGAATAAAGAATTAATATTGATTCAGATGAGCTGAACGCATGTATAATAATATTCAATTGATGAGAAGTTCTGCCCACGGGCTACACTTCAGTAAATGCTGCCAATTAACCTAGTTACAATGCATGATTTTATATCACTGAACCATGAATACTTAACTAAACAGCAATAACAAAGTCCACAGTTATTTAGGGTATAGGAATTTCTTTTACGTATTATCTCTCTATCAGTAAAATACCACTGCCTCCCACCACCTGCGTAGATGTACTTATCCGCCGTTCACCAGTCAGGAAAAATGAACCCGCGGAAGCGCAGTTGTTCTCCATCTTAACCAGGAGTATGTAGACCATAATTTTATGTATGCAGATTTTTGACCTATGGCATTTACAAACCATTTCAGCATTAACCGGTATCATCGTGAAGTCCTTATTGAGACACCTTGCTAGTGAGTCCCAAGACGATGTAATGATAGCTTAGGTAACTAAACAAATCCAGCAACTGTCGGGTTACTATGAGTTGTTCAATAAGTATCCGACTCTTTCCATTGGCTCCCCGTCTGTAGCAACTGAAAAAACTTGTACCACGTCAGGTTGATGCAAGCTTAGCACAAGTGACTGCCCGGTTTGAGGCACAACGAGTTAGAAATGAGCAGCAGCTGGAGTTTAAAAGGCTCGCTGCTGCCGTTCAACAAAAAGAAGCGATACAAGCCAGGCGGAGAAAAGCGATGGAGCGCAGTCGACAGATTCGCTTAGCCCAGGCGGAAATCATGGCAAATCTACAGTGAGTTCAGCGCTCTCATTTGTTCGGTTCGCGATTTTGTTTACACTCTGCAGAAAAGATCAGGATTTTGAGACGATTTTGTTGTGTAACTAAATTAGATCTACTAAAACAATGATCGTTAAATTCACGAAGCCGTCTTCTTAAGGTATTCAATGAGCAGTGTAGTTTGGGGATCAGTGTCAGAAAGGTGGGGGCTACAACAGCGCTTTTAAACAAAGCCTGAACTAACTACTGGCGGAATTATTGCTCACCATAGTGTTGAACACGTAGTAAGGATGTGATATGCTTCACTTTACCCATAATGAGTTTTGAAATCACATGCGGAGTGGAGAACACGGGAGAACCTGAGGATATTGAAGTTGACAGTAAGCAAAATTGGCATAGATATTACACAAATTATACACCGTAGCCTTGATGGCTTGTGTACCTAGAAACAAAAGTGATAAATGGTAGCGAAGCCGTAGGACTAACTTGATAGGTTGCATGGGGCTTGGCAGCAAAATGGTTTTTGTGTAACTTGGTACAAACAACTACGGATATACATATTTTTAGTGGATATATTTTTGGAGTTATCCTTAGATTGTACGCAGAAGGGGTGCTGCCTGGTCAATATCATAACTGCCCTCTATACAGGACTGGGAGCCGGTGAGTGGTTTCACAAAGGGACCTTATATACCTTGCATCCACTCTCTGAACTGCAAAGCTCTACCTGGTTAAAGTAAGTAGAAGTGACTATAGTCAGTCATGAGTCACATCCGATATGTGGCAGGATTGTCAGAAGAAGAGTCGGACCAAACGTACCAATTGAAAGTGTCTTTAATATTTAGTTTCAAAACCATGATTACCACTGTTTATTAGCATGGATAAACGAAATTGCAAGCAAAACAACAGAAAGTCCTTGTACTCTATGACGCTTCATTACAATTGCTCTAACCCTTAATTTACGTAATCATCCTTTAACGTGTTGGCACGGCTCTCCTAGGTGAAAGTTCTGTTTATAATTCCTGGCTATTTATTTGGGGCAATCAAATACAACGAAGTACGCTATATCACCACCTGTGATTTATCCAAGATGTTCGGTCACTTACCAGAGCAATGATTAAAAACGTAGCAGCCATAACCCTACCGACAGAAAAGGCAAAAAATCCCTCCTGGTGCTTGATCCAAGCCTACAAGGAGCAATATGATTTTGGATTCTGTGTGAACACGTACTTCCATCAAAGGTGCCGTGTTGCTACTACGTTCACAGTTCAGGGAGTCAACCAAACACGCTACACACAGGCTAGGTATTATTATTTCGATCAAGTGATGTAAAGCACAACTGGCTTTATCCTCATTAGCTTCATGTTATAGAAAGTGACACGAATTCGGTTTTTATCTCCTCTTTCAGGTTCAGATGGTTGCAACTCTTCTTACTCACATACGTCGGTTTATGCAAGCCTAAAAGTAATTGTTTTCCGTCCCTGCGGTTAGTTGAAGTCTCTGGACAAAGATGTGGTCTAATGGAATTCAGGTCCCAGCTAGTACAGCGCTTCTGTAAATGTAAACAAAAATGCATCAACAGTACGTCGGTATGCATTCCCGACGCTTTGGTGTCTAGCAACCACCATCAGTCGCACGTAAGCTAAGGATATTGCGAGGATCGACCGATCTCTACGTAGGATTGAATCTACGCTCGCGGATAACAAAATAGACCAGCGATCCTTAAGGCTACGGGCCAGTACAGCGCTTCTGCCTACAAATGTGTTCCACAAGCGTTAGTGTATAACTAAATCATCTAAGGATAGGTTCTTTCTTATTCATTCCAGATAGAAATGAGTTCCTTATTGCGCTTCTTGACGGCTAGTGTGGGATCAACCGACTACACCACACTGGCAAGTGTATTAAGGTAATTCATGACGAACTGGACCATATTTTCCAGTTGGACGGATAAGTCCAACATCCTAAACGACGAATCCCGCAAACGATGGGTTGGTTCCGGAAATTGAAGTGTGAAGCTCTTGGTTCAAGACGGTAGCAAATTTGGAATCGGATTACGACACCAATTTAACGGCACATCCTAACGGCCATCCTCCAACTCAATAGAATCAAGGTCGATTAGTACAATGCAACTGTGTAGGTATCAATACATGTTTGCGTGCGGCAAGGCACAATCAAGATCATGGAGCCATGCGTGGGTTTAGCTGGCAGCCTGGACACCGGCACAGCGCAAACGAACGTGACGAGATAAGTGTTAGACGCAGTAGATGCAGTAGAATACGTCCCGGAACCGAGTTACGATAGCTAACGTGATACTGTAGCGACGAGATGCTTAATCTAACCTCACAGTGACGACGTAACGGGCTGGAAAGGGTATGGCGAAAAAGCGTGATAACCTAAAGCATGAGATCATACCAGGAAGTTAACGGTTTATCCCAAATGCTACTTCACGGGCGTGATTGCTACTGGGGCGAATAAGTGGGCGCGGCATTGGTGGAGACATAGAGATAGGGAGAATGGTGCGAACACCCCGTATGCGAGATGATTTGCAGTGGCGTCGACGATAGGAAGCTGTCGTGACTAGGTCACCAAAAGCATTAGTTCATTTTGATTTCAGACAGTGTGCATTCCAATAAGTAAGATACTCATAACCTATGAAACGAATGGTTCTTACACAAGATAAGTTTCACCCTAATTACTCGGAAGTATGTGGATATGATTCAATTCTACAAAATCTTGTTTCAGAGAAAGCATTGATGAGTTGTGTAAGAAACCTCCCCACCACGTTAAACGAGTCGAAAAGAAACAATCCCAATCCACAGCAGTCATGGAGAGCTGGGTAAGCATGATGAATTTAGCTGCAATTTTGTCTAAAGTTGCTTACCTCTAATTCTACAGTGGATAGAGGTTGTTAGGCTCTTCAAGTGATCCGCCAAAATATGGGTGCTCAGGCAGTCACTATTCAACCAGGTTCCAGACTCAGCAAAGCCACGCCTTCAGTAGCCCGGCACTCGATATTAATGGTCAGTCAATCAGAAACTAAGGAAATGTAATTTTTCAGGAAAGTGGCCACTTAAATGAACCCTAGATTGCGTTAGTCAACATTCTCAATGAAGTTCGAGAAACGTCGAACAAATTATTAACAACTAAGTACATTTGCACCACTTATGTGTTTGTGCGTAGGTGCAATGACGCAACTGCAGCTGGTCATGATGCAAGTAAGTTATAACGTTGCTCGATAATCCGTGAATTAGTCAGACAGGATTGCACTTTAGTTTGTTCAGAATGTACTATTAATAGTTTCGTGTAGCAATTGCCACAGCCGTGCCTCTCCTATTCTGGTTCTCGAAGGATGAACAGATCTGGGAAACAAAAGATTAGTTTCGCAAAATGACATCAATCGCGGTAGTTCCGAACTTGGGTTTTCATCTGTTTTACTTTTCAATAGCTAATGATCAAGCATGTTGGGGTGGAAGGGCGGGACTAAGCTGCCAAAATTAGTAACGGATGAATTGACCTAAGATTTCTCGTTAGCGCACAGGCTAAGGGTTTACGTGACGAGCAAGCAGTAGTTATATTACGTAACTGAATCGTCGCGGCCAAACAAAGTAGCATCTAAAATATTGTCCCACACTCTTTATCAGTTACCATTGCAGTTCCTTACTGAATATAGAGTAGTATGTTGTAAAATTTGCTTACTAATCGAAAACATGCGTTCTGCGGCTTTCTTGGTGCATGTTAGATTTGTGCTGGGGACTGTTCATGAAACACCTCGATAAAACTGACTACGGAGAAAAGCTCTGTTCTATTTATTGCGGAAACTAATTTCACCAAGTTACGTAGGGCCAAACACATACGTCCTGGCCACATGAGGAGCATGTTGTGTATAGGGAGATGCGGGAGGGAGCAGAGCGTGTATTGCCACAAAGATGCGCAAACTGACCGCTATGAAACCGGTACAGATATGGACCTTGGTTCCTTCCTATAAGGCTCCGCGCATGACGATTGGTGAGACAAGCTATTCCAATTGCTTACCAACTTGAGCCTGGGAACAATCCCTTCAAGTGTTTCTCCCGTATATTCGCTTCGCTATGTCCGATTCTGACCAGCCAGGACCCGTTCGAAAGGGCCCGATTCGCTTTCTCGTGACTGCATCATTCGGCCCGCGTTCAGTCCTGCGGGCTTCGTTAGTGGTGTATTTGGGTGCTTCACTGAATTCTCGACAAATACTTTCTCCGTTGTTCTGGGCCCACGCTCGTTACCAGACGTCACTCGTGAGCCGCTCTCGGCTCGATCCGTGAGGCTCGCACTGCCTTCTCTCTCCCCAATCCATGGCGTCCGTTGGTAATTCTCTACTATCTCCTTTTCGTTGTCTTTCTGTTTCCAGAGTACTTGTCGTCGTAAGCCACCTTATTATTTGAGCTAGTGTATAGTATACTTTTCCTAGGACAGTCATTATTTCCTCTTAGGTGTTAAAACATAGCATATAGTAAAAGAAAGATGATTATAAGAACTTTGTCCTTCAGCACGTATTGAATATCATAACAACTAAAGCAACGTGGGTAGATTCCATTTAATATAATTGTAACTGTCAGCTGAAACACTAGGAGCAATACCTGCTGCATAACTCAGTTCTTCAGGACAAGCGTCTATTCACATGATCAATTCGGCACATATTACCGCATGTTTTGTCAGCCAAACTCCACTATATATTGTACTTTCACCTCCATCGCTGTCGACCTTCTGTGTCTGTAAAGTTCCTTTTTGACTCATTTCAATTAACACCGAATAACTCACACGAATACCGGTCATTCGGTGTCCAGTAATCCTATCTGTTACTTCCGTCTCTTATTAGGTGTTTGGTTCACTTGGTTTGTCCATCAGTTCACTGTTAGATGACACTACTTTTCACGTTAGAGAACACGAAAATAAGCAAGATGCAGTGGCGAGACGCAGTTCAAATGTTCCTGCATAGTTGTCAAGCCATGTAGATCATTGAAAATTCCATAAAACGATCCGTCTGCGCGGACGTAGCAAATGTGACACAGCAGCGATATTTTGAACGACCGAACTCTGGACGACTTAATTATGCCTATTTCGGATTCTGCAGTACAGCCACCTTCGGTCAAGCCCTAGGCTTTTTCCCCTTTACGCTATATGCTGCGAAAAAGGTGTCAATGACAACCGAGGAATCTAAACTTGGTTGACCAATATCTACAAGGAGCATTTACCACACTCTGTGTTGGGGGATTATAGCACTCTGTTTACCTCTGATGTTATTATTAGTATACAGTTCGAAGAAATCGTTCCAAAAATACTGAGGTCCATCGCATTTACATGTCGGATGAGCAAGCACAATCTGCATGGTTTTTACTAAATATTACGCGATACGCGATGTAATTCTTATGTACCGAATCAATTTTTCCATAGCTTTACATACTTCGGTCCCTTTGTATGTGTCCTTTTTTGTTGAATCGCTCATGTAAACCAGTTTTCAGGTTAATTTGCTAATTGTTAGCATGTGGTTTGCGGCCTCCGTACCGTTTTGATGTGATCACAGTTCGCTTCCACATGGTATACACTGAGTTGTTGAGCCGTTCGACGAGCAACAGCGAACTGAGTCACAAATGTTTCACTGAAATCCGCGATATTATCTTTGGTGCAAAACTGATACGGACATCTTTGCGGATGTCCGCATTTACCGAAATCCAGCAACGGGCACTAGCTCGTTGCCGAAGTGATCTAGGTTGAACACCCACAATGGAATTATCAGCAACTGCGCATTGCTGACGTCACCCTAACTAATGATGAGTTTTAGGCAAGGCAATCACGAAGTTTAGTGAACAACTTAGTAACTGAATGTACTACGTGGTCAAACGGTAGTTAGAATTTCTTAGAACGTAGGAATTTGCAGCAAAATCTGCGTATTATGTTACACTGTGACCACGTCCGACTTGTAGACATCTTGCATTCTTCCAATAGTGAAATACCTTACTTGCTAAGATGGTGTTCACTAGTAGACATGGGTTATTTGGTGCTGGATTCCGAACGCTGTACCGCATGATCGGTTATGCTCTCTTTAGACTCTTAAGCTGACGCGTCTGCAGACTGGAGGACCAGGAGACTGAGTTTGTCTGACCTCTCACCATTGTCCAACCTGGTATGAGTAGCTCTCAAGGTGCGCGGAAACACAACCCAGTAAAGCTCAAGGGGGTCAAGAAGGTACCCAAACCCTCGCACCACGTTAAGCTCCAGTGTCATTGCGACTGAGGTACTGGTAAAACTCGAATGAAATTACGCGAGGACATATCTATTTAACACAGAGCCATTTGAAATCCGTGAGCATATTTCTATCTCGGGATGCGGAGCCACAAAGCTACTTGAATGCCAACTGATCAAACTGCAGACACCTTCCAGGTAGTTTAACAAATACTATGGGCTCTTCTGTGGTGCGTACCCAATGGTCATCGGCGAAGTACTATGAACCGTTTAGCTTCCTTTATAAGGATTAAAGTAAAGTCTGAGTGCTTGGAAAAGTGGAGCAATGAAAACGCCTAGATGATACGACAGTCCGGTCCAAATCACCGAGCCACGTCCAAGGATAGATAAGCTGAAGTACTCCATAGTTCACTGTCACCTGAGGACGACGTCTCCAATCCAGGGACCTGTGTTTTTAACAAGAAGTATGGCAATTAAATACACGGTTGTATCCAAAATTCCCTATCAAACAACCTCCTACAATCACCAGGGCAAATAACTTCCCTACCGGGTAAGACCAAAATATCTGTCTCTCTTGCTTGCGCCTATTTATTTATCCCACACTCCACAACAATCTCTGGAAGTGCGTAGATAATAGAAGGACACAGGCCAGTAGGACTATTTTACCTAGTGCTCTTCTCCATGTTCCTACAAGCTCTCAGGCGGCTGATTGCAATAAGTTATTTTAGCCGCGCGAGAATGGATTCGCACCTATTCTCACTATAGATACATCCATCGGAGGACAACATTTTGATCCCACTCTTCCTGCGATTTGTATAGATGACAAAACTAGTCCATTGCCAAGCCAACGGCAACCTAAGCATAACGGTTCCCGCAGTGCCCCCAACTGTCTCGATGTCCACACATGACACGCTGCCCTTATCAACAAACATCCTAATGGCTAACTCGGGTTCAGCATACCCGCACTTAGCTACCAAGTGCATAATGATCCAACCAAAAGATGCAGCAAATCATACAACGGACAGCGATCGTTCCCAATACAGTACATTTTCAGTGATTCTGCCTAATGCCAGATCCATAATCAACGAGTTCATTTTATGAACATGCACAGTTCAATAACCCATAAGAGATCCTCATCAATGAAACATGGTCTTTTTCAGATACACCTATTTCGAAAAGATCGCTTGGAGGGAAAAGGTAAAGGGTTCAAGTTCAACTTCGAGTTAAAGTTCAAGTTCGAGTTAAAGTTCAGGTGGGACTGGAACGATAGGCATATCCCGTGAGTGTTCCATCTTGAGGGGATCGTTGAGCCAGGAATTGATGAATTACGCAAAGTCCTTGTTTGTGCTAAAACGGAACACGTGTATCGCTCCCTGGTCAATGAGTTAATGCCCACGTTTCCTGACCTCGCAGTCCCTGCTGTGGCAGTCACGTGAATTTAGCAATGGATAGAAAGAGACATCGAAGGTACAGAATAAGGTAGTTCACTTAAAATAAGTGAACAATGCCAATGCGTGAAGGAAAATATAGAAAAGAAATCGCTATACGAAGATGCGAGTTAGTTAGGAAAAGCGAAATGTTTCTGGTTGCCATTCAAGAGCCTCAGTTTGCCGCTCAAATGCGTTAACCGTAGGTTCCTAATAACACTTCCGGAAGCATGTTCCAACACTCGATGACCCGGCGTGACAGCCGGATTTCCGCTCTAATCCGACCGGACCTCGATTTGTCCAGCTTAATGGAGTGACTGAGTAGAAGAGACAATCGAGCGGGACTGAATAGATAAGACAACTCTGAACCAACCTGTGCAATTAAGATACGATAAGTTAGGATTAGGCCACCCTTAAGCTTTCGGTAACGCATTGATTGTGTTATATCCGTGCACAGAACATTCACAGTCAAACCTATGGACCACACAAAATTGGAAAATGTCACTGAATCTATTTGGATATCATTTACAAGTTCCTCATCTTACAGACTGCCCGCATGCGTCTGCAGCCCACTGAATGCGCCTAACGTGAGTATCACCACCACCATCGTTACTGCATGTTATTACGCATCTGTGTTGCCACGCAACCAGAAGATAATTGCCGATGAGTTCAAAGTACCGAAAACGCGCTGTTCATCCACCCAAAGTCTACCTTGCACGCCACTACTGTTTCTTCCATCAGAGCAGGGGCCGGAAGTAATGGGTTTCCAGTCCAAACAAGTCCGCCAATGTACTGGGCTTAATACTCACATTGGCGACACCCAACCCACAGACCGTGATCTCAACTAATCTCCCTGGCAACGACCATAACATGATTCTACTCAGATTCCACATTAAATTAGTCACTAAATTAGTCTCTACATCGCTACTTATAACCCATAAAATACACTGGGAATGCTTTCAGTAATTAAGGATCCGTGAGAATATTTGTAGCTCGGGATGCGGATGAGGGTATGCGGGTGTTCTCCGAGCTGGCTGATTTGACTGCGAAACTTACATTTTCAGGCTAAACGACATCATCAGCGCAGTTTATGCAGGCCACATACAGATTCAAGTGATTATTGATCACTTACTGATTCGAACGTCAGGAGTCGATTTGTCCACGTGAGCTGACCGTGAAGTCCGCTTTTGCATACTGTTAGCTAGAGTCCGCCTCAATAACGTTTCTTTGTCCTGTTGGTTTAGGGCGAAGTACTGAGTTGACTTTCAGCGCTTCAAAGGCAGTACCTAAATTTAAGTGTCCGTTGATTGAGTCCATCCTCGAGTACCAAGCCTCGGTGAATTCGCGTGCTCTTTGAATTTTGGCTCTGCTTATTATCCTAACATTCTCCAAACCAAACTGATGATTGAATAGAAAAAACCCATTGCTTGATCAAAAGTCTGTGTTAGCGAACACAAGTTTTCAATCATTTCTCATCAAACTTTTACATTTACATGGAAAGCAAAATTCTGTATACAGACCTAACGAGTAGTCAGTCAGCCAAATAGATTCTAGTGCGCTATGGCAAACCGTCGGTCAGGTACCGGTTGTAGTCGCACGCTTGCACAGGTAAGCTGCAGTCCTTCCTGACCAAGATAGACTCAACGCGTGAGAGAACCTTTTCTGTGCGCACAGCACTAGCTTGTACAACCGAATGGCGATGGCTTCTGGGTCGTCTAATATCCGCTTACAGAAATACATTGATCAATTTTATGGGGCTTGATGGATTACCTTGAGCGAATCAGCCGACTTGGTGCGTGACTCGTATGCGCAAGATGCGCGGCGGTGGCAAAGTTGGTGGCATTTTAGCCCCATTTCCGAGCCAGACGGGATGGTGTTCCCTTACCCTTTCGGATAAGCGTCTTGTCGTACGACCAACGTAACCTGCTCCACAGGAACAGGTGAAGGAGCAAACACACATTGGTGATTTGGTGTGGACAGGCAGCTTATCCTTTAGGTCTAGTCTCACCATTGGACTACTGGTGAACCAGATTTGTCTATGTACCGGCATCAGGAGTGTTGGTCATGTTGGCGGATGGCTAGGCTATGCTGATGTAGCCTATTGCCGAGCTTCCTTCTGGCTGACCACATAATGATTGGTACAGAGTTTGTAATGGATTTTGTAAATCACACCATTTTTTCTTACTTTCCAAGCCGGTCCTTACCATTGAAGAGTTTGTCTCGAATAGTTTCTGTCGGCTTGTGAGCAACTCTGATTCCGAAAGCTAGCAGGAACCCCGCGGTCATATCAGAGACGCCGTTGATATATCGTAGATTGATTGTGCTTTTATCTGTTTCTGATGTTTGTTCATTCGTCGGTCATTTTGTTGATGTTAAACAACGTAGAATAAAATTCACGGGATACCCATTACCTGAAAACATTTCGGAAAGATGATCTTCCCCCGTTTTCCTCAGCTGCGTAGTGCTGCAATGTGTCTGAACTCTTTTAAACAGAGCAGTTATGCAGCTGCGCTGATAGGTTGTTAGATAATTGCTGCGGTAATACATGATTTGATTTGTATGCGTCGCTTTCCGATAAACTGTTGTCTCCAGTTGTCCAGCAGCAAGTTTTTTCACTAAAACATCCAAGTATGGTATCTGACAAGTGCTCTCCTCTTCTTTAGTGAGACGGATACCAGCAAACGTGTTGTTTATTATCTGACGTGTATCTTCCAGTTTCGAGTGTTTTAGGATGACAAAGGTATCGTCCACGTAGCGCAGCCGGTTTTGCGAACGGGAGTGCGGTTTCTTCCGATGCTTGTATCACCCCTTCGACCACTAGTCGAACAAAAATTCAGCCATACATTCGTTTCACCAACTGGGATGTATTTTTTCTCTATCTCTGTATGGTTGGTGATATCCGGTTTCGGATTTGCCTGTCACTGTGGAAAGCCACAGGACTCCTGCGCCTACAGAGGGACCATGGGTGACTTGCGCTGCACCACACACAGCTCCAACTACATACCCCATATCCAGTGTATACCCGAAGGGATAAGACCGGGAGGCATGCGGATGGGAGCCACGTTTCATCAACGGAGCGGGCCCACACTCTCTCACAGGCAAGCACAAGCACGCTGTATTTGGGAAATCAAACGCACACAAGGCGGTGGCTGGACCGTAGTCCGCTCCACACTGAGTGCATGAAACCACTCTTTGATCCTAACACGGCCACAAGGACTATGCACCCCGTCCCCTCCAGCAACGACCAACTGTCTCCTGTAGCCAGTATGGACGAGGTAGTGGGTAATAGACAGGTAAGGCACCTTGTCAACATGCACATCAAGCGCAGCCACACCGGGGATATCAAGCAACAGCTAATCACTTGAGAGAGGTACAAAGAAAATAACTCGATTAATGCATAAGGAAACGGTGACATAAACCTTAAGTTTATGAGCATATGAAATTAGTTGTTTACAAACGAATCCTAGATCAGAGGTCAGAAAGTATACTTTACGGAAATGCCACGAACACGAAAATGTTATGGAACTCGACTACAATTGGCTTAAGCGAGGTGTGCAAGTTAATGGAATAGAGTACAGGTAGACAGTTATGTGAGAAAGAAAAGCATTAAGGCAAAATTGAAAACCCACCACCTGAAATAAAGAGACTTAGCATGCAAGCACGCGGTTAGTAAAAAGAATGCAGCGTACCTACAAACGCTGCGCCGGTTCTGCCTACGTTCTCTGCAGAACCCGTCGTCGCTTCGGTAGTAGTCCCGAGTGGCCTCGCTCAAGGTTCACTAGGTCTGCCTGACTCAGGCTCTCGCAACCGCATGTGCTACAGCACCATGCGCTCGATGTCGATGCAGTACAACCCAACGGTGCTTGCCGCTTCCGCAATTGTATACATATCTCTGTATATGCAATTTTAGAAACAATTCCTCCGCGCCACATCCCACCGAGCTGCACAATGTGTTCGTATCCCTCATGTCTCCAAAGATGCAGTGGAACAGTTAATCAGCAAGAAAGTTAGAAATTAGCTGCGAAATAGAGAGATACATTTCACTTAGCGTACAAATGCACGAATTTACCACCAGAGTCAAACATGCGCAATTAACATGACGAAAAAGTATAGCATATATATAGCCATACGAACAAGCTGCAAAGCTAGAGAGCGTGTTAAAATGTTGCATCGTAGAACCGGTGACCGCTCTCCTTTGATTAACGAAATTGTTGACGCTGAGGGTCAATTACTCCATAACGTAGCTGAAATCTGTGAAGCATTCCGTACCTTTTTTCTACTACCATGAGTGGCGAAGCTGACCCTGTGCCTGTGTGAAAAGAGATTTCATTAACAAACCACCTAAGCAGAGTCAACAGTATCCATCAAGTTATCAAGTCAATCAGGTCATCATCCAGGCCAGGATCTGATGGCATTTCACAAACCACCATTAAACTAAGAGATCCTGATATACACCTGCTCTTGATGAGCATATTTACCCTATCACAGCAATCTAGTCATTTTCCGGACCAGTGGAAAACGTCATTTATTATTACTTGGCAAAAAAGGAGATCCCAGACAAACGATTGATAATCACCGACTAATCCACCACACTCCGATAATCGCTCAGCTATTTGAGGAACCGGGTAATCATGATTTAATATAATTAATTATAATGTATAATACATATAATATACCTTTGCGTTATAATTTTTGTTGCCTAGTAGCCGGCTGGTAGCTTTCCAGGACGATGCCCATCCCTTGCTGGTTGCTCAGCTGGCAAACAACTGTTGCAGATCTTTTCTTTTCTTTTGTTCTTTTATGTATTGCGGAACGGTGGCTGAGGTGTGTTACACCTCTAGCCAAGGTGTATAATGAGGATGATGATAATGACGATCAGAGAGGTAATGAAAGATAAGGTTACTATTGGCCTGATCCATAATTCATAGTATGGTAGTTTTAGCAAGTGATCGTGCAACACCTGAACTTCAAGTATCCGGACGACGTGAGGTTTACACAGTGGAACTATGCCAAGGACGTCATTTGCTTTTCTTTTACCTCTGTCAACGCAAAATGTACGCAAACTATCTATGCGATTAACTAACTTACCATGTTTTTCCTTCACATCTTATCCCTTCTGTAGCAAGCAATAAAAGAGATACAAGAATTTGAGCGCACTATAAAGGAAAATGCGAAAGTGGCGACTACTGGTGGGAGGCCAAGTTCCCAGTCCAAAACTACCGGGGACAGGGCACCTACTTATGTGACACCAAGACAACACAAAGATGGTGAATTCGTGAAAATCAATCCGGAGGAAACGGAAGCTTACATGGCACAGATAAGTGAAAAAATTCAACAAGAAAGAAGTGCCATCAAAGCAAGACAGAAGCGTCATCGGCATATAATTATCTCTGTTCTGGAGGAGCACCAGTTACAACAGGTGTGTTAATAGTGTATACTTCCTTCTGTCAGTATTATTTAAGAAATAAACACAGTCTATCGCCTAATTCCCCGGTTGGACTCTAGGAATATACCCCGCTAACGAATGTGCAGAGAATACTCAGCATTGGGTAGAAATCCATTGCGCTGGCATGCACAACACCAAGGATGATGCAGTTGATGTTGTGAAACTGTGCGAGGCACTGCCGTCAGTGTCAGCAACACATAAGTAAGTAAACAGAAGTAATTAGACAAACGGAGCTAACAGATAAACAGACCTATTCTGGACACTAACACCAGCAATACTTTAGCGTTAATAACAACTCAGTGCTTGAGTAAATGAAAAATAAAGCCAATGAAATAGATCGGCAGAGAGAAGCAATCAAGCAATGAATGAAGTGGGGGGCACATTATAATGGTCTTACACCCACGCAACCTACATAGCAAAGAGGAACGCTTTCATGAAGCAGAAAACGGCCCACCATTTTTTCAACCAGGTAAACTATGTACACAAGTTGTGTATGGATAAGGGACAGGCCTGTCCAAAATGACCACCCCAGATACCACGACACGGAAGCGGCTGACCATACACGGTCATTCTAATAATATTTATACTTCTGGACCCATGTAATAACTTCCTTGTTTGACTGTGACAAAGTTCTTTACCTCGTATAGTACTTGCTTTATTTCAGTAACTGTAGGAGCAGCATACAACGGCATAGCAGCAGGTTAGCTCGGGTTCGGCCGATAGCCGACTAGTCTGCACGCCTGGCTTGCAATTATAAGGTCACCGGTTCGAATCAGCGTAGTGGCTGGCGTTCTTGCGGTATACTCAGCGCTCGTGCCACTGGTGGTGGTCGCGCGACAGATAATCACCGTTATTGCGTACGGCTGACGATTTATCATATAGATTAACGGGAAGGGTTACATCTGTTAGATAGCTCTTACTCTACAAGGCAATACTCTGAGTGTTAGTGGGGGACGGGAAGCACCGTTAACACCTCCTTCGTTGTGTCGTCATGGCTGTTTGTGTGATTAAAGGACCACCGATCCTCCAGCTGGTCACTTTTGTCGCATCCAGGATACTTCGAGATGTCGTAATATTCCTCGGGAAACCTAGAGAATTCCCCGGAGAATTCATGCTGTAAGTTGCCGTCGTTGCGCACCTGTTATTACCTATACATCTCGCATGCTAATCAAAAACTGAGGGTTATCTTGGTAAGAAAATGGTGCCTTTACCGTGGTGCGCTGAACATTTGTATCTATGGACCGTGGGAATTAAATACAGCCCGGAAGGTCAGTAATCTGACAATTATAAACTTACGGTGAAACGGATGGCCTATAACAATTATTCACGGAACATCGGTCAGATGGGGAATTTGCGCATAATTTACGGCAGTGTGATTCAACCATTTGGGATTGTTTGCTGAGCTGAATGGAAGCCAGCGCTTAAACGCCAACAGACGTAAAAGTTATCGCTCTGTACTCACCCCTACTCTAAAGTAACCCAACATACAAAATGAGAAAACGACATCTGGTATCAAGGTAGGGAGTCTTTCTATATTACGCTGTTAGAAAACAAAGCGTTGGCCGTTTAGATTTATTATCTCGTTAGTTTAGATCAACTAAAGTTTCTCCAACTGAACAGAGACGACTGAATGGTTCCGAGTTATGACATTAGTTGACTAGGAGCTAAAAGTGAGTGTACTTGCCTCAAGTGAAATTGAAGAAAACAATGTTAACTGATATTTAGTACGCTCTGGTCATAAGCTAAGTTGCCAATCGCAATTTAATGATGGCTACCAAGCCCAAAGTTCATTTTGCATGGTTGGTGTCAGACTTTTGGTGACCAGTAGCTTGGGTTACTTAGAAAAGATGCAGAACCTTCCGGAGTGTGTTAGTCTTCGTCTGCGTTTAGCTCCGTAGTCCATAAGTTGAGCAAGTGCGCAGTTTTTAAAGAGTTTCTCTACGTAGCCGCCACACATGCTGAAAAGCACTGGGCTGCCGTTTCTTTCGTTCGAGAAATATTAGCAACCTGGATTCTATCTGTTCACAGTAAGGTCACAGCTCACGACCCCGTTGATAATTCGCAGAAGTTTGAAACGAGTGTTCAAACGAGTTTCTGAAAGAACAGCTAATACGTGACTGGCTGCGCTTGTGAAGAATCTGCTTGGACAGAATATTCTAGGAACACAACTTCTCTGATGTCTAAAAATTTGTGAGACTTGCCCAATAAAATAGCTGTTAAACTCGCTGTGATCTGACTCAGCTGGATGGATATGGCAGTAGAGGAAATGTTCCAACATTGCTGGCGTCTGATTTCGCAATCATTTACAAATTGACAAGCGGCATATATCAGGCCGATTCGCTGTCGGGATTGTTGGATGAACAGTCTCCGCCAGAAGACACTGTTTTTGCAATTATCCACAGTGAAACAGGAGAAAGTCGAGTGTTTTATCACACTGTAAACCGGCTCCCGATATCTTTCAACCTGATTAGAGATGCCACATTACGAGTGTTGTGGTTGACACAAGTGAGCAACCTTCAGTACTCACAGTGACCACGAAAGCTTTCAAACGCAAAGCTACAACCGCTTTTTTAGAGGATAAATGTTTTCCTTAGCGTTCAACACCGCAGTCTACTTGATGAACACCTCATCATCCAAGCCGAACTAGAATAAATAATCCCACAGCAGTTTCACGCTAGATATCTTTGCTCCAGCAAAATTAAGGCACTAGTGAGAACTTAGGTTTTCTGGCCTTTAATGGATCCTCAACTTGAAGAAACAAGGCATTCGTGTTCAAACTGTGCCCTTCATGCAAAATCCCTGCGGAAGTGTGAACTGTTCTCCTGTCTGATACCTACGAAGCCATGATCAGGGGTTTACCTCGATTTTGCGGAACACATTACTTAGTATAGCTGCATATAGTGACTGACCTGAGTTCTCCAAAATGGCATGCAACTCCACATCGGCACGATCAACATACTCGGGAAGCTATTCACTCGGTTCGGCTTTCCAGAAACAACAGTACCAGACAATGGACCACAGTTCACCACTTCGCATGTTGCCGAAGTTTGTGCGCTATACGGGATGTAGCACATCCGTTCACCTTCTTATCATCCTCAGTCTAATGCGAAGGCTGAAAGATCTGTGCATACCTTCATAAGGTCAATGCTAAAAGCTGAACTAGTAGGACCAACTCAAGGAGTCCTCCAGGCTTTCCTGTTAATACATACGGTTAGGTCTAACTTAGAAGTGCCTAAGGGAAAATCCTCAGCAGAACCGCTCCTATTCAGAAAGCTACGAATGGAACTTGGTCTGACAAATCCGCTTGAGAGGCACAACTCTGGAAAGAATACTGTAGAGAAGCAATAACGCAACCGAAGGCATCACGGTGTACCGAGTTATGCCGGTGTTGGATAAATGGGGATAGCAGAGGACACGTAGATACCTGGATTGGTCACCAAAGATATGGCTATGTGTCCCAATACTTGATCGTGGGCGAGGACAGGTGGGTTCGCCACATCAGCCAACTCAGGAAATGCACCTTGTTCAACAAGGAAGTAGATGCATTGACCACTCCGTTTGTAATACTCTTGGACGAGTTCAGTGTGTCAACGACTTTGGTCACTCAATAAGATGTATAGTAAGCAGTGCGTTGATGATAAAACGTGGTTTTCACGAACCTGAATTCTCAGCATCGCAGTTATTCAAGTGGCAGTATTGGCTTTCCAAAAAACATGAACAGCGGGAAAACTACAGTTTGCTGCAAGCTTTTAAACTGATCATCTGGTCAACCTTGACCCCATCAAGCTCTCTCAACAGCGCAGTAGATGTCTCATTGTTGACATCTAAACCTGTGCAGGTTTTCCACTTGGTGGCCGATATTCTGAAAACGAAGTCCGCTGTCTCAACTCACTTTGAACTCCGATTGCGATGGCAATAATGCGATGCTCCCATTCAGGGAAGGATGTGATTGGACTTAATAAAGTCACTGCCCATTCTCTGTTGAACGCGACTGATAATTGGTGAACGGACCTGCAGCCATGGAGTCAATTAAAAGTCATGAAGAGTAAATGTTTCCACAAAGATCTAATGCATCCATTTAACGTAAACAAAAATCGTCGGTGCTTAATAAAAATGCGTTCTTTAGAATAAATGTGTGCCTCTATTTTGGTACGGAGATCTGTGTCTACGGCGGAATATTTTATGTGTAACAAGCACTGCAGTATGGGAACAGCGCAAATGCTTTGACAAGATTAGCAAAAGAGCAACAGGGTGAGTTGAATTTCATTACATCCAGACTTAGACAGAAAGCCATCACACGATGGAACGAGAAATGTACAGCTGTTTTATGTTTTCAGGAATCTTCAACAGTGTGTATTCTATCTGACGCCTATGGGCAATAAGTTAATTAGCAACTTCAGTTCAGCCAGTGGTGTAGCAACTACTTTTGCTGCCCGGGGCAGGGCGAAATTTCCGCACTGACCGAGGGTCGTACGATGAGTGAAGGTAACGCAACCGGCTCAGGGTAAAGCGCACATTAGTTTTCGATGTAATGGATGATTGTTTGGTACGTTGAGGTAAATGTGGTGAAAGTGATCACAGTGGGACTGCTAGGAAGAACGTTTGCACGGGTGCGACACGTAACGCAAACGTGTTATTGGTCATGCGAAGTAAAATTAAAATCTTCCAACTTCAGGTTACTCGGATATTTTACCCCATATATTTGGTATGGAAAAATCGACGGCCCCCCCGTCACCTTTCGATACGGAGCAGACCGCCCCCTCCGCCCCCTATGCTACGCCTCGGAGTTCAGCAAGTTCGTCTCCTGGTTACAGTGCTACCCTGCCTCTGCACGGTATTGAGGTTCAAGTCATTGGATAGTGAGTGGCGCTACATAATATCCCGTCAGCTTAGCCACGGTGGTCGTTGCGGCCCCGTAGCTCAGTGCTCTCAAACACAGAGAGGCAACAGTCCAGCTGCGACACCACAGCGACTGATTGGAATGCGCACTGTTGGTGACTTCCCGAAAGAATGACACAGCCGTTCAGTGCTATCCCAGGTGTGTGATGGCTGTCTGGCTGTGCACAGCTGCGGTGCAATTCTGCCTGCATGATTACCTCCATTGCAACAGAAGGAGACAATTTGATTCATTTGAAATAAAGGATTCATGCTTTTGTAGCACAATTCTCTGAGCGCAAGTGTGTTCCGCTCTTTCCACTAGCCTGATTACGAAAGCATGCAGGAACACGAACACGCAGGAAGCAAATTGCTCAACTGCGGCACAGCGACAACATCATATTGGAACAGTGTAATTTTGGTAGAGAACAGATTATTCAAATAATGATGTATGCAACTGTCAGATTTGAGGAACCGAGCACCCGATCTTTTCACTCAATCCTTAGATCGAACGCAGCCATCTTAATTTATAATTGAGTCTTAAACAACTGGACTATTAATTTTTCAAATGAGCGGTTCTTATATTGCGGTTCACAAATTTGATGATATCTGTTAGTATGTGAATACGCTCGCGAATAGTATTGCGCTCCGGAGTACATGAAAAAATCACTTTGAAAAACCATGTTTGCAAACCCTAACGGCATGTAAAATCCATAGTGGAAAACATAACCCGGTTGCACAATGACAAATTCACGCAGCTGGACGACACACTAGCTATACAGCCTGTACTGCCCGCACAAATCCTGTGGAACCCTACCAGTCTGTGGTCAAGAAATGTAGCCCACAAAACAAACACAGCTCTTTGTGAACAGACATCACGGACATTGCGATTAATTCCAAGGATCAGTCCGGTACAGTAACTATTATCATGTGAGGAACTATCTGATGCATCCTTCATATGCCTGTAGTGAAAAGGCTATTATTACGGACATTTCGTTTGTTCAAACATGTTCCCGTTTGTCTCTGTATACTTTTTGGTTTCCTGACATATCGTTTTAGTTAGAAATCCACCAAAAACATGCAAGCCCCCTACTGTGGTTCTACTTGTTTCCCTTCGGCACACTGAACGTTGTACATTCTGTGGACTCACCTCCGCTGACCATTTTACGATTTGATGAACACACCTTCCTTCAGCCATGTCCTCAACACAAATCCCACCTTGGATACACCAACGTAGAGTGCTAGATTGATTGGACTATCGCTCGTTTTGCTTTAAATAATGTCGGATTGTATTGCTTAGTCGGTTGTGTAAATGGCTGGAGGTCGGTTGACTGATGCCGGCATTTGACCTAGTTTGACGTCCGATTTTAACTTGAGAACGGAGCTATTGTACATTTTGTGGTGGATATTGTCCAGATCAGTGTATAAGTTGTTGCGCCTAACCATTTGTAATTATAGCGCCATAGCGCACTTCTGGCTTTGAAAGCTGTATTCATCCGGGAGTCTTGTGCGTTGCTTTAATCTGCCGCCAATGTGTCAGTAACAACGTCTATGATTATTTTACCTTGACTTGCATCATACCAATTCCAACTGTAGGAGGAAAGGCGATCTCAGCAGCTTGCAGAGTGTTTACTTAGACAGTCTCAGCTGGAGCGCCGTCTGCTGGTCCAACTGGAACAAGTCAAGCAGGAAAAATTGGTCATGATAGCGAATCGAATGGAGCGCCAAAAAGAATACGAAGCCAGGCGTGAAGCTGAATTTCAGGCTGCAATGGACCTTGAAAGGGTGAGTAAACTGTTAGTTCCTTTATGGATCCAAGTCATCCGAACCTCTCCTATAATTTTGTAAAAAGTAGAATCGCTACTGTTTAAATGCATGCAGGGCTACAAATATGCATATATCTTAGGATTGGAAATTCGAATCATAGCGTCCCATCACAGTTCCATCACTGAGCTACCAGCGATCTGGATTTGAAATTTCCGTGCGCTTGTCATCAGGTAAAAAACGTAGTGGACAAAAGTGGCGTACTACAACAAGATTTCAACAGAATTTGTCCGGTCGCGTTTACTCGCTTCCGCTGTTAATTCGAATTCTATTTCCCCTTAAATGTACTCCATTCTTCAGGAGAGAGGATTACAGAAAAAACGAGAAGAGGCCGGAATTTTAGCCGTGCTTCGTGAAATATGGGCGAACCACAAACTAAGAAAAAGAGAAGCAGCTTACAAACGTCACTACGATTTTGTGGAGCGTGACGTTGTGTTACTGTTGATCGCGTTTGCAATAAAATTGGCTGAATTTCGAATGTATACAAGAAGGTGAGTGAAAATTTTTCACATAAAAATTAACAGTCTGCATCTGCTATTACACCGAGTCGATTTGCACGTTTTGTAAAGCGTCATTCACGAGTTAGAACTGCATACTAGGACCTGCAATTTACGACCAACTTACTCTCTTGTAAACGAGCTCCCATTGTTCCGCTCCTCATGTTACACGGAGTGAAAGCCTTTTCATATGGTGAACAATCATTGAAGAGGTGTAAATTGCTGACACGTGACCGATCGAGCGCTTGCAGTTGTGCTCATACGCTCGCTGCGCTTGGTAATTGGGTCGCAAAACAACACCAGAAAGCGAGTTGACCTTATCGATGAAGAACAATGGGTACTGTTTACTCTAACTACTGGTCATTTGCGTCTTTTGGATGCAAGTACTCGAACACCGTTCGAATTGTCTGCTTTTATAGAATTGTGAAATCGTAGTTGATCGACACAGGAAAGTCATTCAAAATTCAACTGGTGCAGTAAACAGGAAAAGCTTTGGAAGGGGAGTCCTACTGGGTAGTTTTGCTTGTCATAGTTTTGCTATCAGAGCCGTGCACAAAAATGTGAATAAGTAAGCAAGCACTTGGAAAAGCGCAACGCGCAGCCAAACAAAGCAGATACGGAGCCCAAAGAGGACAGCCTGAGAAATACTGTCCCATGAATCATACGCCTGTGGAAAAAGTGTAAAGTCAACTAATGTTTCCACTATAAAGACTAATCCTGTAGCCAAATTCCTTCGCCAAAATCTCACATTGAAATCGCCTCCGGCTGTTCCCACGGACTCCATGAGTTTTGCTTTACCGTGCTGGATTCTACTTTTGCATCAGAACAACTGTAATGATCTGGAGATTCCCCCGTAAGGCTGTGTAAGCTGCAAGTGTCAATAACGCTTAGAGGATAGTCGAACGGCGCGTTGCCAACCAAACTGCGGTGTCCAAGATCGATTCAACGAGCAACCAAAGAACCGGAACTGAGGCAACCCACCGGTAACCGCAAAAAAGGCCACAGTTGTTGAACTACGGTGTTCTATGTTACAAGAATAAAATATCATAATTACAAAATACCAACGATATCCTCACCAACTAGGTACCGAATGAGCGATCACGGCTACGAGTGACAAGTTACTGGTTTAAGTACAATGCAAACTAAAGGCCAACACACACTGCAGGTATAATGGCCACGACCAGGACGAATCGGGACGCATGCAGTCTATAACCAATCAAAAGAGGGTGGAATCTGGCTATGAAGGGGAAGCCTTGAGGTCGCAAACCCAGACATGGTTTGCCCCGGAGCTTTAACAGGCACTTGGCAGAACGCAAGTGAGTCAATCGGTTGTGCACAGAGAGAGAGAGGGTCGATACGCCAATTAGAAGTCTACGTGCAGGGTGAACGAAAATGATCGATAGGGTAGACTACCGTACGTTTGATAAGAGTCTTTCGATTTTGCTCCATCGCCGTACATCAGCCGCACAGGTCAGGGTGAGATTGGAGCACACTAATTTGCCGACCCACCAATGGCATGTAAGTCTACCATATTTACTCACTCACGTATGTCTGGGGGTGTGAATACGACGTGATGACGCATATCGGTGCATGTGTCCTTGAAATATGTTAATTACCCTGGGCGATTTTGCCACCGGTCGGTTCAGATTGGGTCGCTGCCGACGTTTTTTGCCGGTGGTTTGCAACATCTCGACAGCAGTGTATAATGCACTGGCTACCGTGTTCAAATGTTGGTGGCGCATCGACAGTTGCTTAATGTTATCCCAGCAAATGATAAAAGGGTTGGTGACAACGCTATTGTAGACTGAATGTTACCTTCACATAAACCACCTTAGCAAAATAAGAATTCATAACAATTAGACGGTGAAAATATGAGATGCTACTTCTGCATAAATGAGTCCGGAAAAGCTGTCGTTGACAGACTACTCCCGTCACAGTCTTGTTAGCAATTGCAGGAACCAAGTGGGGTGCACGCTGTTTAATTTGTTTAACAGTGACCGTGACGGTGTAACATGACAGGCTGACAGTGTCGCTCAGTCTCTCAGGAAAACGTAGGTGTATATCAAACGAACTAATGGTTACATGCTGCCGTGTATGCCAATTAAGAGACTACTCGCTGCACGTGTTTGTGGAGAAGGACTGCCGATGTTTGTCTGCTCCCGTGTGGCGTAGTAGTTGCTGGAAACGCTTCTCTGTGACAGAAACCACCTGCGTAGCATAAACAAGGTCTTGGTCTTCTTGCGTTACAATCACATCCAGAAAATATGCTCTTGATAGCGTAGCTCTAATGCGAATCTTCGATTCTGGTTGATAGACGATTTCCGGGTAGTACTTCTGGAAACTAATGGTCGTCTGTCGCAGGCGACGCGGAACGGCGTGGAGTGTTCTGTTGGCTGTGGATACCGACAGTTTGTGGTCAGTAAATTCGGTAGACAGTTCGGTGGCCGAATGTCTATTCAGTAACACGCTTCACAGCATACATCAGCGCGATACTTTCCTTTTCGATTCGACTATAACGACGTTGGGACTCCGTTAGCGTTCGGCTGCGGAAATCAGTGGACTTTCCGTTTTGCTTTGGCACGGCACCGATGCCGAACCGGCTACTGTCACACTGGATATCAAAGATAGTAATGGATCATGGCACGCTAGAATGGGGACGCTGGTGATCAGCTGTTTAACCTTTTGGAAAGCTTTCTCTTGCTCTACGGTCCACTGCCAACTTTCGCCTGTATGTGTCCGTTTCCGCATAGGAATCATTACTTCAGCTAGTCCAGGTAACAAACGGCTGAGATAGTTCACTCTCCCGTTCAGCCTGCTCGTAGCCTTCACACAGCTGTCGGGGTGGCATCTCTTTTATGGCTCTGACTTTCTTTGGATCTGTCTTCAGCCCCCTTTTTGAACAAACAACTTGTCCGTAAAAATCCACTTCGTTTTACGCAACTCTAGCTTCTCACGTTTCAGTTTACTTTCCCTGATTGCACAGCACTGTAGCAAGCTGTATACATTGCACTCATGCTCTTTTCCAGTAACTCCGAAAACTAGCACGTCTTCTGTTATACACATAATGCCCTCGGTAGGTCGTCTAGTGTTTGCATAAGGCGTTTTCAAAATATTTCACTGGATACTTTCAAACCAATGGTAGGTGCAACCACTGGCAGCGTCCAAATGGCGTTCCATGCGTGGTTAACTGGCTGGACTCTCCAACAAGCTTAATGTGCCCGAAAGCAGAAGCGAAGTCAAATTTTGTGAATAACTTGGCCTTGAGCAATACCGGGTGAACGTCATCTGGCTTTGGCATTGTGAAATGTTCTCTTCTGAGTGCGGCGTTTAGCACCTTAGGATCGATGCACAAGCGTAAACCACTTGACTGCTTAGCGACTACCGCAACCTGACTGACCCAACCTATTGATTCATTAACCTTGGCTAACACCCAAACGGATCAATCGCTGCAACTCGTCTAAGAACTTCTCACGCAAAGCGATAGGTACTTTCCTAGCTGGCAATGCTACTGGTCTCACCTATTCGTTTTACGTCAGGTGAGCTTCCCCCTGAAATTTCACCACGACATCGGCAAACACACTAAGATAATTGTCTACCATCTGTGTTATTGTCACACGAATGAACAGAACGGTCATGAATACAGGAGACGAAACCCAAAGTCTCAATGGAATCAAGGCCCAGCATGGGCACAACATCTGCAGATACCAGGAAGAATTCGAGCAAATGTTATAATCCATCCTTTACCGTAACACGGCCCTTTCGCTGTAACATTGAGCCATTCCACCTCCTGAGACAGATCTGTGTTGTGGCTTGTGCTGCATCCGGACAGTATTTGCGGGGTGGTATGTGTAACTTACACTTGTTCGATGACAACCGTCTTTGCCTGACCTAAATTTACTACCCCAACTTCCCCATTCCCCTCCCCAGGTTTAGCTCGTATTTGCTGTTACGTACTGCCTTTCCTCGAACACTCCAATTCCCACGCCTTAGTTGCCCTCTTTCCTGGTGTCCATCCCCGTGTGTATCCACCCTAACAGCCCTGCAGTGTCCCTTTGCTTTATGGCCACGTTTATCCTTGTCCCACCGCAGTTTTACACCCGTGCTAAACTCATGAGGACACCCCATAACATGTTTCACCGCTGTGTGCGATTGATCTATCACACACGGCTCGTCTGAACTTGTCCTCATTCCAGGAGAGAATATGTCGCAATGTGTCTGGACCTTGCCGTGGTGCGATGGTTTGTGTGCCTCAGTGATCCATTGAGCTATACTGGGTGGTGCATTTTTGCACCTTCAGAGTCCCTCATACCAGCTTGGTCAATGGTTAGAGACCAGACAAACTCAGTGTCCTGGTCCTCCAGCTTGGGGGTTGGAATGAGGGTGGCACCTTATTCCTTAAAACGGACACCTTTTAGCCCAACGCCAAACTCGCTGTCTTGCGGTCAGGTTTTTGAACCAAAGGCTTTGGTTGAGAACCCTAATCATTCTCCTGTCTAGGCCTGGGCAACCTGACAGTATCCTGCCCACGCAAAGCAAGGAATCACTCTTCAAACAAATACCTAACGCTCTGGCCACCGCAGAGGATAATCAACGGTGCCCCATCTGCTGCATCTAGCAGGGTGGATAGAGGTTTGAATGCTACTGCTCAAGCCTTCCCGTCTTCTTATTTCCTCCCTTACGCTTGCCCCCTATGGTCCCGTTCCAACTTTGCTTTTATCCCCCCAGTTTTCAACCCCCCGATTCTTGGCCCTTCCCAACATGCTTTGCTTGGCGTTTATCTTCTAGCTTCAACTCACATGCTAAAGCGGAGCGTCACCCCTCTCCTGTCGACAAGCCCATGTCCAACCAAGCGGTTCATTTCAGTTCATTGGCTTCCATTTGGAGCCCTCGATTCTCCTTCAGATTGGTATGCCTCAGTGTACGCACATTGCTGCAGATCGGTCAACAGACAGTACTTGAACGAAAATTAGAGACCATCTCGATCGATATCTGCT